ATTCCAACCAAGCTAGTCTCGACTCGTAATAAGTGTAATACGCGTCCGGGTTGTGAGGGCTTCTTATTCCGGGGCGTAGGTGGGTCGCAGTGGACTGCGGGGGCTGAAAAGTAAAATTGATTCCTTGTAGACGGCTGGAAAACCACCTAGTAAGTGTCAGAGCCGGAGGAACAGTTTGCTTGCATCACATCTATTGACTAGCTGGGCGGTGCTGTCACAGCTGTCGTTAGAGGACTGAAGGCAAGGCGACTAGCTGGAGGGCTTGAGAACGCACGATAGATGGCTAGTCCAGGAACATAAGATGAAATGGGAGTGCAAAGAGAAGAGGAAACGATGCTCCCAATATAGGCTACGCTCGACAAATACTTGTTGGATTGCTACAGCGACACTCTGACGTGCTACAATAAGAACAGCCGAGTTGGAATTCGAATGTCGCGGATGTATCTTCTAAGTCAATTAGTGAAAATAAATAAATGGTATATTCCTCGGCGATGCCAGGTGCAGTCCAACTATGCGTTCTGATCAATGAGAACAATAATTAATCAGAGAATATTTTATATACAATCATCACACCTCATCCCCAAGAGACTGTCGTAATAGGTTCGCTTTGTTTTTCTCCGTAAGAGACCCCGCTGGAAGCAGTTCCATGTAATGAATTAAGGTTTTTCACCCTCGATTCCAAGTATCCAAAGAATGTTTGTCGGTAGAACATGACCAGAAGACCGGTGGAGTAATTGCCATGGACATGTTATCTCTGTCGTCAATTGTCACGCTTCTCTTTTAGTAGTACGTATATCGTATACCAGAAAGAAGATAGGGCGTGGACAAGAAAAGTTTACTCAAAAGGTGACCAGGTACAAGTCAAGAGAAGTGAAACTAGGTGATGGTGTAAGCGTGCGTGCATGTGTGTAAAGGACCAATTAGTGTGAGCGCGTAGTCAGCGATCGTTAAGATGCGTGATAGGTGAATGATGGTTACCACAAGAAACAATACCGCCCGCACCTCTTGGGTTATGCAAAGATGATCCAACGATACAGTAGTCTTGTTATGCTACCCCCTAACATGTTACACGGAACATCAGAGCCTTAGTACAACCTCATCAATTGTGGCTTCAATTAACGAGGACCTTCCAGAAGACGTTCTTTGGGTGTTATAAAAGCACGAGGAAGTTGGCAATGGCACTGGTTTCCGCTTCATGGACATATATCAACAAAGGTGCACGATAAAACCTAGCAATCTCAGTCAAGATGGGCTTTCTGTGCCCGGATGAGTGCTTGCTCAGAAGTTTACAATACTAATTGCAGATGTATTAGGACAGCCCCTTTGAAACTGCAAATTTGTGAACACGGAAAAATAGTTGCACAGATGTCAGTCAAGTAGGCAGTCCCCCATAGCACCGACGAGCTATGCAATGCGGACGCATTAAAGATTTCTCGGTGTTTCACATAGGTACGCAAGCATGCGGAGCTCGAACAAATATTCAAACAAGCATAGCTAGATGAAATAAACAGAATTGAAGGTGCTCTTCACAATCCACAGAAATCCCATTCGACAGTTGTCTCAGTACTATGCTTTGTAAATAAAAGATGAGGTGCATTTCCAACTGAATCCGTTACTCTATGGATTGGGAGTTTAGGAGTAGATGCTGTTTGAGATTAACAGCTCCAGAAGAAGCGGAAGACTGAGCACCATACAGAGACCGACAGTATTGCGGCGAGTGATGCAGAAAGATGATAGTCCTGCGCTTAAATGCGCTATGTGTAGCCGATGGCAACATGAACAACCTCTGTTATTTTCCATTCTTCACTTGTCAAGAATAGCATTAGATTGTACGAGATCATTCCTCTGATCGACTAATGCAATTATCCTACTGGATTTCAGGAAAAGGGTTAGGATTTGCTCTTGTTAGCGTTCTCCGAGTCGTTCCTAAGGTGCTTTTTCTAACACTTAGCCTGGCAGGAGCTTTTGAGGATGGCACTAGAAACAACACAAAACAGACTATGAAACAAAGATGCAAATCTCGCAAAACTTTTAAAGACATCTGTCTCAAACAAGGTCGCGAGCGTTTTGGGATCCATTATGAACCGGTAATCTCAGGTTGCAAAAATTGCTAAAACATGAGCCTAAACTACAGTTACAGCCGCTCTACGAAACCAAGACAATGACGTGTATTACCCGCTTAGCGGCTGGTAGAGATAGTTGATATCCTTGGAAAGCAACCCACTGTTAGTACACAGAAGAACAGTTCCGGATAAATGAAAGGTGTGGGGATGATTCAACCGTCACCAATTTGACTGGACGTTGCACCGAGCTACACCAACGAGCTAGCAGCATTTATGATAAATCCGCAAAGGCAGGAACTAGGTGAACGCCTGTAAATCATCAAAGTAGCCGTCGTTCAGCATAATGGACTAGCATGTTTTAGCGAAGTTCAGTTGAACAACTATAATCCGAACACAGAAGTTCAGTGGATCCAGTTGTGACAACTCACACCGTAAGAATAAGAACAATAACAGTGAGATTTAGGTGAGAATAGAATGTAGAGAAAATAGAAGCAAGAAGGAAATGCGTTAGACTAATCAAAATGGAACGAAAACTAACAACAAGATGCAATAACGCCACTGATTTTGTGACCGCGCCATGTCCGACACGGTATCCAACCACTGAGGTGGACCATCCCGAGGCCTGCGTCCAGGAAGACAGCATGCACCAGCCTGAGCAAGTCTCTCAGTCAATTTGTACATGCCGCATGCAACGTCATGAACTGGGAACCTCGCGGTTTCAACCAACTTGGTGCAGGCACGTCGTATAATGCACGCGAAGGAAGCCGATCAACAGACATGCGGAGAACATAGCCTAGCCAACACAAGCGAGTAGGATTTAGCCAACACTCAAATGAGGCACCAGGTTCCCTGCCAAAAACAAAAACTGGCAGACCTCAGCAGTGCTCACCCGGTGTTCCCACCAGACGTGAGCAATACTCCACAAGCAGTGGTGGTCAAACACCGCTAAACGTGTAATGTCTTCGTCGCGGACTGATCAGGTCTCTGATCCACACAGTAAGACCGGTCTTGCCACAGAGTTATACGCCCTACCTTTCACCGACAAGCCGATATCCCGCCGTTTGAAAGATGAGTTAGCCTCTGGAAAGTCACACGCGCCTTGCTGATACGCGAAGTAACCACCTCAGTAATAAAACCATTAAAAGTTGACACAGCTACCAAGGTGAGTGAATCGATCCACCACTTCCAGTGGATGTTCGGAAATAGCTAAAACCGAAAGAGTGGCAGCTAAGTCCTGCAACAACACTTTGAAAGTACGAAGTACATGCCGAAACGTGCAGCGCTGCGCACAAGTATGTGCAATAGTGTTTGCACTGCCAATGCACCAGACCTAAGAAGAACCGCATACTCCAGGTTTGTCAGCCGTTCGCCTAGCAGAACCTCCGCTCAGGTAAAGTCTAAAAGAACCGAGTCATTCACGATCATTTCGATTACAAAGTTGAAGACGAAAGGATGTGAGTCACCTGTAGTTGACAGCAATATGGTCAATTTGGACGCAGGTCGTTGAGGAATTCCGTGGGCGACAGGTGACGCGGTTTGTGCTGCAAAGCAGCGTTGCTAACATAGATTGTGGTCCGTGCACAATCGATCACTACTGCCTGTTCGGTGCGCATGAACTCTGTCTCAGGTGTTATTCAGCATTTGATAGACGACCCACTTGGGCATTTAAGCCATCATCGACAATCACGATGTCAATATTCTTCGCCATACGGAGAAGAGACGAAAGATGGTAGTAGAAAACATCTTTCGTACCCTCCGAACTGCAGTCAGTAGGAGAATAACGGAGGCGACGAAAAGGCACCTTGTCTTCATACTGAGGTTCGAAATCAAACCGCAAACATGCAGTAGTTCACTGGAACCCAGTCGAGTAGATTGGCTTCAGCGCGTCTGTTGAGGGCGATATGACCACCGTAAATACCTTGAGCCACTGACTCGGTACCACCAGAGACGCTAAGAGTGTGGTCAAGGTAGTCAAATTCAGAACCAGAGTCGAAGATAAGGCACAACGCTGTTTTCTTGTATGCGTGTTTCGGAGACAGCACACGTCAATACCTCGAGACTGAAGAGTGACAGTTAGTGCTGCTTGTTGACCGAAAGTGCGGACGTTAAAAGAACCAAAGTGAAATGAGATTCGTGGTTCGATGGACGAGTTATGAGTAACGATGGCAGCAGCTGCATGCATGGGGCGTCACACAAGCTTTGAATAGCTGAAACAATCCCAATGTGTTTTATAACCGTATTATGCTACACACCTGTGACCACGGTCGACCGCAGTTAAGAGTTGGTGAGTTTACACCAATTTGACCAGGGGTTTCCTGGCTTACAGCTAACGGTAGCAAACCACTGACCACCGGAAAGTGCCCTCCAACCGTCAGAGACAATGCGTGGCGCTCCTGCCCTACACAAATTGAGCTGTGAGCTAATAACCCGTAGACCTGTCGTCTCCAACAACTGGGTTTTAAAGTAAGACCATCGACTTCTCCCTAACTTCCGAAGAACATTGGATTGTGAGAATGGGTTAGCCCGACCCCTAACCATCAACCTGTCTGGTAGAGTGGCTCTAAGGGCACTTGGAAAATGCTGCCCAGCAGAGTTTAATGCGTCACGGGACCATGTAATACATCGCACCACGCTAAGACTCAGTCTGGTTGTGATGCATGTTTCATCGAACGTGCGTGCAAAACTAATACAGATACACTAAAAGACTCGGTGGGTATCTGGAAGAACCTGTAACAGAGGTATGATCAAGTTCTTTGCACACCTGTCCCAAGCTGTGTGGACATGTGATGGTACGGCAGACAATGACGAAGACAGGCTAAAAACCCAGAGATGCGATGGGCAGTATTGTCTTCAAAACTTGGAGCGTTCCCGTATTACTCTGCCACTGGTATAACGCTTTGCTAGATTAGATCCAACCACACGCAGAGAAAGAATATTCCCTTAGTCACAGATAATGTTATCAGTAGGATACGAACAATAGTTGACAACACAAAGGAGGCCAAAGGCCAGTTGGTATCATGGTTTGCGACCACATTAGCCGAAAGACAAAATGCTGGTGCAAGTCCTTCGAAAGAAAAAAGAATTCAAATATTCGAGCGGAGACTCATAATTTAGAAGTGTTTTGATAAAACAAACGAAGTAAAGAATACACCTATGTACAGTGGGAGATAGAGTCATTCGATTTCATGGAACCGGGCGAACATGGCGCGTTTCACGTTGTCCTTGTAGTTATCTGAAGGTGGACCGCGTTTTGAGGACTTGATGCCTAAACCAACGCCCGCTTCGCGAAATTCCGCTTCGATTATCTGAGTGCGACCTTGATTCTCACGGCCCAGACCCTGGCCCGCTTGCCAACCCATTTTCTCCATCAAACGACTCCCGACATTGGGTCCTAGAAGTAGAGAAGTAAGTAGAGTAAGCAAGCAATGTCAGAGGAGAGAAACAAAAACTGACGGTAGAGAAACCAGATGCGAAAATGCGACACATTGGTAATACGATACTTTCGAAAGAGTGGCGTAACAGAATGGAATTGATGGAAGTGTGAGGTGACAGAGGCAGAAACAATATAAGAGTTATACGTATCGACGCCTCGCTGTCACAAAAGTATCGCAGCAGTACATCGGCGTGTCGTACTGATTGTTGCACTGCTACGCGACCACTATAAGTCGAATGTAGGCCGTAGATACAGCGAGGTCATTCGCATATACGCGGATTGACACCAATGACCTTAGAAGCACGAGGCGGACGACTTATTCACACAACCGCCGGAAGACCAGTGGGAGGGAGAAAATACAGTCGTCTAGACAGAGTACGGTAAAGATATAGATGAGTCGACACACAGATAGGAAAACAGTGGGATTAAATGGTGGAAACCAGTACAGGAGAAAGGCGCGTTTTGTTGGATAGTTTATGACTCGCTCACGTATTACACAAGGTTAATTTTAGAGGATGGAGACACCAGAGAGACCAGACCGGATGGAGACCAGACTTGCCAGGTGTATAGGAACTGGGTAACAAACGAAGATAGGGAAACAATAGCAAGACTAAAAGAACAGCACAAGCGAACGGACAGTAACCAATTAGTCGGCGAATGTGGATCTGCTGTTAGACGGTACCAACAAAACTGAATAGTGGGAAAAATCGGAGGAAGATAAGAGTTGTAGGGCAGACTGTCGCTGCAAGACCTCACACGCCGCCACACAATGTGTAACATCGATCAATGGAGCCTAGTATGCGAACGTAAAACAATAAAAGAGAATACCACACACACGCGAACGCTTCCGTGATAGACGTCAAGTAAAAATACTAAGGTTAGGAGAAAACCGACGACGTGGCGCACAATGCGACACTGAAAGCGATGCAGTGAAGAGATTTGCTAAGTGCTGAGTTGGCTGAATTTCACTACAAGCAAAAATAGCCCGGGTTTTCATAAACTGGTAGTAATTGAGTTGTCAAGCGGCAATTTAAGCTAGGAAACAGCAATTATGTCGATCTGGTTAGTAGGGCGTAGATCTAAAGGCCTAAGTAAGTCGAACTCAATGGACAGGTGGACATACGCAAAAGAGCCGAGGCGACTAGGTAAACACCGCAGATACTACTGGTTGGAGGGAATGCCAAGGAAAAATAACTAACTGAGAGAAATAGCTCACCAGGTTGTTGGGGAGGCATCATTGGAGGAGGGCCAGTGAACATCGATGGAGTAGGGTCCGGTAACATAGGGGGAGGCACAGCAGTTTGGGGACTAGCGTTGTATATTTTTCTAGGTGGAGACGGTGGCCCGTAACGATCCCTGCGCTCTTTAGCCCGATCGCGATACCCTGTCTGACCAGGTCTATGAGTAGTCTGTCGAGCAGCAACAGACTTGGCATGATCATTAGCTGTCTCGGCACCAATCTGCATCAAAGAAGCTATGGTGAGTGTGTTGCCTGACCCGGAAGCAGATGAGTCTGAGGTTGAAGTCGGCAAGACGCGAAGACCGTACTTGAGCCTGACCTTATTCAAATTTTCAATGTGCAGGGAAGAGAAGGCTCGGTGCTTCTGAAGAGTGGCTGCATCTTTGAATCCCCGTGAGCACAGTAGACAGGCCAGTTTAGCCCAATCCAACAACCTAGAAGTACGGAGCACAGGAAATGTATTGGTGAACAGAGCTGTTGTAGCGTCTGATAGCACTTAAGCCCAAAAAGAGTTGTACACATAGTCATGATAGAGAGAAGTGGGTTGCGAAAACAACTGCCACATCGACACCAGGCCTTCACAAAAGGTACCAGTGATGCTATTTGTATACAAATAAATCGTCCACTGACATTTTATGATAAGGAGTAGCATTAATGCAGGGGCAGCGACGAAATGCGAGCGGGGTAAGTCCATAAATGCAGGGAGAAATCAAATGAATTACCGTGCATAGGTTAACTGCAGTCATCTCATTACTACTCGAAGTAGCCTCTTCAGTGCGCAATAATTAATGGCCTATCAAAAAATCATCACAATACACTGACTAAGGAGGAAATATCTCAGATATTGTGCAGCAAATAAAAAAACAAAGACCAAATAAAAAACAAGCATTAGGTTTATTTTTATAGTATGCATCGAACGTGAGATGGTGACTGCAGGTGGAGGCTAAGGGAGAAGAGGGACAAGGAAATTTTAACACAAACGCCATTTAGCTCGACTCTTCACCATGCTAACTAGTGTATCCAATTATAGTGCTTCGGATTCCAGTCTGGCATCCGGGAGGAACCGACCAAAGCTACGTTGGAAGTGGTTTTCACTCCTCTAGACTAAATCATCGCTTGGCCTCCAGTCCTTCTTCTTCCCGTCAACGCAAATAGTGCATAACGCGGGAGTCGGTGTGCTGGCGCGCACAACAACACGTAGCCCAGCCATCACAATCTGGAGCGTGAATTAATGGCGCTGAGCAGTTCGCTCACATTAAAGACAAGAGGTCAAGCACACCGAATCCTCACGTGGTGTCCTCACTAGATAAAAACTAAACTGCGAAACCAGTTCTAATCGAACGTTACTAGCCTCTTTAGGTCTGCCAACTTGATGGGCCAGGTTTTACAACCTTATAGGAGAGTTGTACGGATGGCTGCCTTTAAGGGCGAGAGTGCCGTCAAGTTGGCACCACAAGTGACAAAACCTAGCAAAAGAAGCTCGAGCTTTTGCTATAGCATTTGTGATCTCAGCTTCCACAAGCGCAAATATAGCCACTTAGATACATGAATTTCTAAAGAATTTCTAGCTGATCAGCACAAAGCACAGGAGTGGGTCACTGCTGATCTTGAAGATCCTGCATTTCGAAGGCACAAAGCATAGCTAGGAACGATTGCTAATCTGTCCAGAGCTACTTTGCATGCCTGCCAGGAAAAAAGGAATCTCAAGTAAAGCTATTGAAGGATACAAAAGACAAGTAGAGGAGTTCGGTTGAAGTACGAACGCTTGCGTAAACAGTATCACTATCAGAAAATACAAAAGACAGCTTTCAGTGTATTTGTAAAGGAAGCGAGCTCCGGTTCTGGCGGATGCAAAAAAATTGAGTAGGATCAGAAAAAAGCGGTTGGCTGGGCGTGAACATAGCAAAAAGTAGCTGCATCGAAGTAACGATGGTAGAATAATAGGCGTCTACCGATTACAGAATAAACTAAGTGAACATATTTCCGCAGTTAATCTTACAGGTTGTACATTCGAGTGTGAAATAAAGTAGCACCAATAGTAGGCCGAGACGCAGTGCGGGCCCATCCTTGCAGCGTAACCACTATCAATCGCATGTGGGCTAAGGATACTGCGAGAGTCGTCCGATCCTTTACATAGGCTCGAACCCGCGATTTCAAGAGTACGATGCAGGCTTGTGATCCTTAAGGCCATTGGCCGGCGGATAGATGATACAGGCATTAGGTCTATGACCACAAGTGAGCAGATGTTGATAATTACCGGCAGCCAAATTCATATGCGGCTTGCACACCAGCTTGCAGCTCAAAATTCACAAATCGTTGGGGTCAATGCAACCTGAAAGCCAAAGTGAACCGATTAAGCACACAGCCGAATCGTTATGGATTTGGCGACTAGAGACATGCGCTGGTCGATGGTGAAGCGTGACAGTGTGAATGTTCATGCTAGACTGGCAGTGTGATCTGTGTAAACGAAATGTGCGGCAATGAGGAGTGTTACATCATGATGAAATCAAAAAACACAGCAGTGCAGTAAGACGGTCATCGGGTTAAACGGTAAGTGCAATTGCACAACAAAGAGAAATGCAGCGTAGGAGAAAGTTGCGTGATTAACATGAACGCTGAAGGAAAATCACCAGCCAATAGCTACGGTAGACAGACCAACATGCGGCAATGTATATGCACACATGCAAGAAACGCCTAACACTGTGTATCAACGAGTTGGTTTAATGAGCCTTCTACCCCGAGCAAGACCAGACTGGGTGCAAATCTCACATACACATTATTCGGTGCTAAGTGGATATACGTTATACAGAGTAGTGAACAGTCGTTCCAAAGTGAGCAAAAAGGTCGAAGGCAATGAGAACAGCCCAAGTGTTGGTACAGTAGAAGTGTTGTGGTACATATAATGAGGACTAGGAAAACAACGAAGACAACAGCATCCTACCGGTGGACAGTCAAGTGTCAAAACTTGGACAAACTAGTCGGAGTGCAATATCCTTTGGAAAGTGTTGTGCACACTCAAGATAAAGAGCACGCCGACAAGACTCCCAGAGAGCACTCTGGTGCTTTACGGCAAAACATTGGGGATCCAAAGCCAATTTAACAACTTAGCAGCTGTGCAAGTTAGTCAATGCATTGCGAAAGTTAGAAAAGCCCTCACAACCCCGCGATATCCCTGGTGTCGGGACAGAAGTTCCCACAGTATCAAGAACAGACTACGAAGCCATAGTAAGAACCATTTTCTTAATGGAGCGTGACAGGTCATAGGACCACAACCGGGTCTCTACATATGTCTCCGTAAAAAGGTATCAGTATTACGCTGACACTGTGCTGTCACGATGGCCACCAGTGGCGCGCGGACTAAGGGCAGTGCAAGATCGCCCGCGCCTAAGCGGATTTGAATCAATAATCGGTGGACTTCAAAAATAAATGCAGCGAAAGAACTCGTTTTTGGCGGCTCATCTTCAGGATGTCACACCAGGATGGTAGGGATGTATTCACAATCAGATTACAGATAATGTGCCATCAGAACCAGGGTGAAATAAAGAGGGGAAATGAAATACATGTGAGAAAAAAACGATTTTTTGGTTGCACACACGTAGTTTTGAGTTTTTTTGTGTTTTGGAGTTTTATGAGTAACGAGACGTTAACTAATGGATAACACGGTTGAACGGCAGTCTCCCCTGATGCCTGTTGTGCGTCATAACCTCCAACGATCCTAACCACTGGCAGTCGGAATCGCGTGGTCCCCACCCAGGAAGGCAGATCGGCCTGATAGGGGCTAAGGTTGCGGTTGCATTCTTCATGCTTTTACTAAACGGTTGTCCACCACGGAACTTTTACAAATCGCTTCCGAGGAACGCAAATAACGCTCGATGGGGAAGGCGATAGGCTGGCATGCAAAACACGTGTCCGAGCCCAAACATGCGGTGTCGGAGAATAATCGTCTGGAGGCATGGACTCGTTCTCGGACTTCTGCGTTACGTGATGCTCCCAGCACACGCGAGCAATCCTACGCATACAAGGATGGTCAAAAACTGGCAACTGTTTCATGTCTTCCGAGCGAGTCGACCAGGTTTCACAACCGTACACGAGGACATTACAGACAGAGGCAATGTATATCCTGCCCTTGAGTTCAAGATTGATGTCGCGACGGCGTCATAAGTGTCTCAGACTGATGAATGCAAGGCGGGATTTTGCAATCCGTTGTGAGAACTCACCTCCAATAAGTCGCCAGCTGTGATGCAGCTACTTAGATAAGTGAAGCAATGGACTTGTTCCAGGACAGGAGGGTCTACGCGACGTTTAATTGAATGGAAAAAACCCATTAATTGATCAAAAGTCTGTGTAAGCGAACATATGTTTTCAGTAATTCTTCATCAGGCTTGTATACTAAAAGTTTGCATTTCATGTAATTGTACAAGCCTGATGAAGAATTACTGAAAACATATGTTCGCTTACACAGACTTTTGTTCCAGGACGTCAACAGCAATGGCATTTTATATTTACCTGGCGTGATACACAGGTCATACTTACATGCTTCTATCGCTAAGCGGTTCAGAACGCTCTGGAAAGCTTGTGTCGTCGCAACGAGACTGGATCTTAACGTGGTGTGACGGTTTGCGTACCTCATTGACCCATTGAGCTATACTAGGTGATGTCTCCGGGCACCCTGAGAGCTACTCCTACCAGGTCGGTCAACAGTGAGAGGTCAGACAAATTCATTCTCCTGGTCCTCCAGGTTGAGGGTTTGAAATGGGACGGCGTCCATTTCTGCAAAACTAAATCATTGCCACCCCCCTCCCGCTGCCTTGCGAACAGGCTTTTGAGCCAAAGGCTTTGGATGAGGATCCTAATCGTTCTCCTGTCTAGGTCTGGGCACCCTGGCAGTATCTCAGCCCGCATACAACCATGACATTTTCTTCAAACATAAACTTCATCCTGCATCAGCCGTCGCGTAGATTATCAAGGGTCGCCTTAGTTGCTGCATACAGCAGGGCGGATAAGCGAAAACATGCTACATGCGCATAGAAACTGTCAGCTCACACATTGCAAAGGCCAGAGCTACCTTCTGGAACATGCGGCATCTTTGGCGACAGAAGGGAATTGCCCTCCGTCTAAAAGACCGTGTATACAAGGCCACAGTGAGGGCCCTTCCGCACTATGATAGTGAGACTTCGCCCTTTCGGTCTGAAGATCTGAGGCGCCTTCAAGTCTTTGATCATCGTTGTCCGCGAAGCATTGCTGGAGTCGGATGGCACCAGCGTGTCCGCAACGACGATGTGTGTAGGCGAGTATTAGGTAGTGATATTCATGCTACCCCCCTAGAACAACAGATACCACTGAATAAGTTGCGTTGGCTCGGGCACGTGCTACGTATGCCTGGTCACCGCTTACCTAGGAGGGCCTTGTTTGGTCTGCCAGGTGTAGGGTGGCG